GATAGGAATCGACAGCGTTCTCCAGAGGCGTTTGTTTGTTTTCAGGAGAGATAATGAATTAATTTTCGGTAGGGTGTTTTATTTTAATGTATATAGTTGGTAATTTATTTTGTGTTATTGTTGACGGAAACTAGTGCTAGAGAATGCTGTGACGGTGTTGTTGCCGCTGGCGTCATCACATTGATTTTGAAAAAAAAAAGAGAAACGGCCTTACATGTTAAGGCTCTCACACCTTAACTGTTAAGGTGTGAGACTCAAGAATAAATTTGAAGAACTGCGGACACCACGTCTTTCTAAAGCGCTAACCTGATTAAACCATGGGCCGGGGCGCTGAATGGAAACCTAAGGGATATCAATCCACTGCCCTGTGGTCAATGCTCTTTGCCTTTTTGGTGCATTGAATTATTTCTCTGGTCCGTGAAAGCGTAAGGGCTTTACATATAAACAGTTTCACTGACAGGTCAGTGAAATTACTTTTATAACGTATAAGTTATATAAGATATGTTGCATAATATATTACTGATACACGAAATAAGTTACATAAGATATAAGTCATATAAGATATGTTGCTGTCAATGTTTGAATTTATTCGAAACATTATTTGGAATATCTCATGGTCTTGTTATCAATAAAGTAAATGTAGATTTTCCCCAGGATAAAATAATCTGTTATTTAAAACCAGGAAAGTGGTATTGACGAAAATAAGATATGTGCCAGTGTAAATAAAGGGATATAAAACACACACATAAAAATGTGTCAGGTAACCAACAAGTACAGGTGTAAATGTTTCAAATAACAATTTCTTTTTATTTGTATCTCCCCCTTCCCCAACCACCATTAAACTGTCTCCTTCAGATGTATTTGAATTGGTAATCATGTTTGGGGGATTTCCTCTTTAATAGGAGTCAATTATCCTAGATTTTTCCACCTCCGCTGCACGTGGCAATTATTTTCATTGATAAGCGCCAGACACCACACCACACCCCCACCCCCCACCCACACCTACGTCTTGTGACACCCCTAACCTTGAATGGCATCCTACCTCTGTTTGTGTAAGGCTGACATTTATTTGAGGAAAAGATGTGTTAATAGAGACATGAAATGTCAATTGCTTGAGTAGACTGGAGCAATAGATGCCGGGACGTGTACACTCGTACGTCATTTGGTAGATCATTGCAATGCATCTTCCCCCCTCCCCACCCCCCCAAAAAAAAAACACTATAGCCCTGGTAAGTTATCAGGTATGTTTAGATTTACTTGGAACTTTGAAACCGTAGCACCGTGTTACGCTTGGCCAACCTATTTGCTTTTGGGTGAAATGAAGCATTTAGGTACCCAAAAAAAAAGCCCGAAAATATTTTCGACTCCTGACGCACAATCCGGATTATAATCTAGATACGCACAGTAAATACGATGGCTAGACCTAGATAACGCACAGTAAATACGATGGCTAGACCTAGATAACGCACAGTAAATACGATGGCTAGACCTAGATAACGCACAGTAAAGGCGGTGGCTAGACCTAGATAACGCACAGTAAAGGTGGTGGCTAGACCTAGATACGCACAGTAAATACGATGGCTAGACCTATACGCACAGTAAAGGCGGTGGCTAGACATAGATAACGCACAGTAAATACGATGGCTAGACCTAGATACGCTCAGTAAAGGCGATTGCTAGACCTATACGAACAGTAAAGGCGGTGGCTAGACCTAGATAACGCACAGTAAAGGCGGTGGCTAGACCTAGATAACCCACAGTAAAGGCGGTGGCTAGACCTAGATACGCACAGTAAATACGATGGCTAGACCTATACGCACAGTAAAGGCGGTGGCTAGACCTAGATAACGCACAGTAAATACGATGGCTAGACCTAGATACGCTCAGTAAAGGCGATTGCTAGACCTATACGAACAGTAAAGGCGGTGGCTAGACCTAGATAACGCACAGAAAAGGCGGTGGCTAGACCTAGATAACGCACAGTAAAGGCGGTGGCTAGACCTAGATACGCACAGTAAATACGATGGCTAGACCTTTACGCACAGTAAAGGCGGTGGCTAGGTGGCTAGACCTAGATAACTCACAGTAAAGGCGGTGGCTAGACCTAGATACGCACAGTAAATACGATGGCTAGACCTTTACGCACAGTAAAGGCGGTGGCTAGACCTAGATAACGCACAGTAAAGGCGGTGGCTAGACCTAGATACGCTCAGTTAAGGCGATTGCTAGACCTATACGAACAGTAAAGGCGGTGGCTAGACCTAGATACGCACAGTAAATGCGATGGCTAGACCTAGATACGCACAGTAAAGGCGATTGCTAGACCTCTACGAACAGTAAAGGCGGTGGCTAGACCTAGATACGCACAGTAATGGGAGTGGCTAGACCTAGATACGCACAGTAATTGGCGGTGGCTAGACCTAGATACGAACAGTAATGGCAGTGGCTAGACTGAGGTAATGTCATCTTCAAACTTGTTAATTAGTTTTTACCGCAGAATACTTGACCTACTAAAACAAAATGACCTTACTCTGGGAACAAATCATCTATTTTTTGTAGCGACCTTTTTCCCTCGAAACTTTTCCCCCTGCCAACACCGGTTATGTAGGTCAATTATCTGTCTGCTCAGTGATGTGTGAAAAGATTAAAATTGGCTAAAAAACAATGGATTTAAAAACATAATCTCCAAGAAATTTGACCTATGGTGTTTTGTCACCTTGTGCACCAAAGTCTTGTTACCTTGTGCACCAAAGTCTTGTCACCTTGTGCACCAAAGTCTTGTCACCTTGTGCACCAAAGTTTTTTCACCTTGTGCACCAAAGTCTTAGCACCTTGTTCCCCAAAGTCTTATCGTCTTGTGCACCAAAATTTTGTTACCTTTAGCGCCAACGTCTTTTATCTTCAGTTCAAAAGTATTCTTACAGTGAGTCTCAAAGTCTTTTCACCTAAAGCTCAATATTGTTACAGTGAGTCTCAAAGTCTTTTCACCTAAAGCTCAATATTGTTACAGTGAGTCTCAAAGTCTTTTCACCTAAAGCTCAATATTGTTACAGTGAGTCTCAAAGTCTTTTCTCCTTGAGACCATTATTGTTACAGTGAATCTCAAAGTCTTTTCACCTTGAGCCCAATTCTTTATTAAACCCGCAATGAAATTGACGTCATGGACACGACGATGCGGAGTCTCAGAAACTCGACTGACAACCACGACACTGGCATTCTATCCTGTAAGGCGGAGATCAAAGCATAAAGTCAACAAAATCTCAGTTTACAAGACACTTTTTCCCCGTGTTTAATTCGTTAATTTTATCCTTCCAGTTCGACATTGTCCAGGGCCTCGAATACGCACCTTTGAATCGACAATAAAACTTACGTGATTTAATTCCAACCATTCATTGCACACCTACAGCGATAAATGTCAGGTGCAAGCCTTTGATAAGTTTTCAGTTAATCGCACGAATGGCGATGGATAAAAAAAAAATAGTTGATTTCTTTGTCGACCCGTTCTTAATTGTTTCGGCGTACTAACGCCAGGGACGGCCCGGATCCGTTCTGTTGAAACGTGGAAGTTAATAAATGTTCTTACCTTCAGCCGTCGTTATCTAAGGGGGAATCTTTGTATTTTCCAGAGGCTTAAGTATTTACTATGGGCAGTGAAGAGAATGTATGGCGGCATTAAGCTTGTTGGGTTTTTTTTTTTGGGGGGGGGGGGGTGTTTTTATATCTCACGATAAGGCACTAACCAAGTCAAGCGAGACCAAGAGTTCCCAATAAACTGTCAATGGCGAGTAATTCAATGATCCATGGGTGAAAGAATGAATAGTTTTTAGCTTGAAACTCAAAGCAGCACCGGATTTGCCTTTGTTCAATTTGCTATTTAACAAGGGGACTCTGATGAAATGATGGGGAAATCTCAGCAAAATCATTATTACACGGAATTTAGACCGATGACAATTTGTTCACTGCAGCAACTTCGCGATAAATCTCTGAATTCGTTTTATGACGTCAGTCAATTAAAAAAAATCATGTTTAGCAAGGAGCAGATTTATCAGCACCTTAGAATTTCTGGACTTTTGGTTTTTTTTAGAAGAATAAGTTACATGTCTACTATTCCGCTGGAAAGTGACAAAGAAAGATAACTGAAATGTTATTGACTTAAGCCCTCTCTTGATTTTGGCTCTGACGTAGTTCCCCTCCGACATGTCCACATGGGTTCTATCTCAAGGTGGTGCAGTCTGATCCGCTAAAAAGAGTAATTCTTAGATACTTCATAGGGTCTGTCAGGCCGTTTCGTAAGTAATACTTATGCTATATATACCGGTACTCACTTTGTAGAGTGCATTTTATTTGTGTGGTTGTACTCCTGTTCATTACTGATCATGATAAGTAAGGTTTTAATTTACTTTCTCGTCGAGCTCGTTGAATGTACTCCTTATCAATGACATTTCCATAGTTAAATGTAGTGACACGTGTTATGTCTTTTATGGACTCCATGTGTGCATGCGTTTAAAACTAACGGCTATGAAATGCGTCATGCCTCAAATAGGCTTAGCGTGTACTTAATATTAAACTACAACAATTATACTGTATAGTGCTCGAGCTTAACGTACTGCCCTGCATTAAAATCCCACATCAGCTAAGCGTATAGAATTGCACATTAAATCATTAAAAGAGACGGGCTAGTTTCAAATATAAATATGGTGAGATTGTACTGGACGCCCTCTCATCTCGCATAGATTTGGAATACAAAACTGTGTAATGCTCATGTAAGAAAAAAACCCACAGCTTAACTTATGTAAAAATAAAAAAAAATAAAAAAAGTTATTAAATGATTATTTTATTTACCCTTTGGAATGTGGTGTCTACTATAATCATAAATCATTGCTTTTGTTTGAAATGCACTATTCAACATTATTATGGCTTTATCGGGAAAAATGTATTTATTTCTAGTTGTGTATGTTTTTCATACTTTAAATGAACTGTTAAATAACAAGTAAAATCCAGTTATCCATGTTTATTGAATGATTGCTATGCTTTGTATAACCTGTAAATCCAGACATATCCAACATGTTTATGGCTTGCTATGTATAATTAAACGTTTCTCACTTTAAATAAATTGTATATTTATATGCCTCTTTTCAGATATTGTCCTTCACCTTTGCTTCAATTTCTCTGCATTCACCCATACTCTTACAACAATTCAAGCAATGGTTAACAAGACCTGCTTTCCTTGGTTTTGTGAAATGAATGTGAAACTGCATTGCCACCAACCCACCAACCACTCGCCACACGACTACACATGGTTGTCTCCCAATCATTCTGTACAGTTTTACATGAGATTCGACATCCCGTTCAAGAAAATCAAATTACTCCTTTTTTTAAAATGCCATCTTTCAATACGCAGCTTGAATCAAACTGACAACTCCCCACTGATGGCGTCAAATTACTTTTCACTGCCATGTACTTAACGTTAGCTGTGTTTAAAGAGACCCGTTTAAGAACCTCTCAACGAATCCCAAATTGCTCCCAGCGCCTAAGAAAACCAATAAACAAGTATAAGGAGAGCACGAACAGTTTAGGAAGCTGGTCTCGCTCTCGTAAGCGAGCATGTGTTTCCCTACAAGTAGTCAATACTTCATTGAACTTGGGAGGAAAACTCAAGCATCGGCTGTGAATAAAAACTTGTACCACGGCATGACTGAACTCTCGAGGTTAACATGTGTGTCCCCAGTCGATAGCACTACCCCATTATGCTTTAATTCGTTTTATATTTCCAAGATCTCCTGGGTAAAATTATCCCAGTTACTGGAAAAACCTATTTCAATAAGATGTTGTCCTTATCGTTAAGGAAAATGATGATATGAGCTTTTTTTTCTTCTTTTTTTTTTTATCAATAACGCGATATGGAACGCTGTATTTAAATGAAGTAGCTGATTCATGACTATTACGGGAAGCCAGTAAAGCTGACATGTTTTTTCAATAACGCAATTTCTAACACTTTAGTGAAATGTAATTGTGGATACGAGACTCTTACGGGGGAGTCGCCAAAGCCGACAAGGGAAACGGTCACAATTTTAACATGGGATAATGCATCACTATCAGGTATTATTATTTATTTTAAAGGCAATATACAATAACAGGTTGCATGTCAAGATGCAACCTCACCCAAAGCTGGGTCCGCCTGATTCACCATTTGAAGAAGTTTTGAAGTTTTTAGGTTTAAACTTTTTTGTTATGTGCTTCAATTAAAATGTATGTCATTTATTACAACGATAGACGGGTGTTCAAATTTAGGCCAGATTTGAACATATATCTAAATAAGTTTTTTTAACATTTATGTAGAGAACATAGATCTATCCATAATCTGAAAGGCAGGGCCACTTTCGATTAGGAAAAAAAAACAACAAATAAACCGAAACAAACATAGCGCATGACATATTCTAAGAATATTTCAAAACGTAATTTTACTCTTCTAATCACCTGCATGCACGTGTCAGCAGATCTCGGGGAATAATTTGTGGGGGTTTGTTTTGCTGGCAAGATTACCAAGTTTTTGTTATTTACACTATCAAGTACAACATATCTCTTAAGTATCCCCCACTCCAGTACGATGTCCCTTCCGTCAAGTGTAACGTCACTTCCCTACAACAACACCGACTGGACTCGTTTCTATAAGAGGAAGGAGCTTGCCGTAGAGTTCGACTGCTTCCTGGCGCCCGCTTCCGGTCAGCTCTGAGACTTTATTTATCATCAACATCCTGGGCTGCGAGCTGCTGGACGGCCTCCATTCAACCGCACCCGCCGGAGTGGTCACCGTCGGATCCCCGGTCTTTGCGAAGTTTGTCCACAACGTCATCAGCTGCTCCGATACCCGAACGTCTTCCTGCGAGGGGGCGTGTACGCCGCGCCACAGCGGGAGAGCAAAGCTGCCGAACACAAATGGCACCTCGTCGGCGTGTTGGGCGGTCGCCCAGGGCGGCAAATCACTAATGCTGCTTCGGTAGTTATAATCATACACGTAGTGTTTCCTGTCTGGAGATATTTCAGAAGCCATTTTAGCTTCAATCAAAGTCGGGGCGGCAAAGGAAAAATCAGTCAATGCCGCCGAGGCTTGCTCGAGGGTGAGAGCAGGATCGCTGATGTGCCCCAGGTAGACGTCTTCGAAAAGCCGGACGACCCCGTCGAGGTCTCTAAACGTGAAACGTGCAAGTTTAGATTTGATAACATTCTTGAATTCATCTTTTGTCATCCACGCAGAGAGATTTTGTTTCAGCGCCACGGCTTCGTTGTTGTTGAACCCTCGAATTGTGTCGATGTGTTCAAATCCGCCAAGGGCGAGAAGCTTCCGAGGCAGGTCGGGTATGACGCCGAAGGTCCGCTCTATTCGCGGTAGAAGAACCATTCGAAACGGCTGCACCTCTTGCACTTCTGTGCTTGCGTCCAACAGATCCATAAACTTCACCCCTCGAAGACACGCTACAAACTGAGTTGAGTCTTCGAGGGTGCAGTTGACCTTGGCCCCGATGAGCTCAGCCAGTTTTCTAGGAGCCACGCTGGTGGATGGATAGGTGACCGCCCACGGGGTCAACAGTGAGCCGCTTTGGATTATGGCCCTGTGGAAAAGGCCCTTCGCTAGGGGCGAAACGCTCAGAAGAGAAACACTGCACGCGCCAGCACTCTCCCCAAAAAGGGTAACACGTCCCGGATCGCCCCCAAAACTCCCGACGTTCTTTTGTGTCCACCTTAACGCGGAGATCTGATCAAGGAGGCCATAGTTCCCAGGAAGTGCGTCATCTTCAGTACTCAAAAATCCAAGGGCGTCTATTCTATAGTTGAGTGTCACAACTACAACCCCCTTACGCGCTAAGGTCGAACCGTCATAGGTGGAGCTACTGCCCCCAACGAAAGCCCCACCGTAAATCCACACCATGACGGGAAGTGACATTGCTCCGTCGGCTACGCTCGGCGTGTACACGTTTAGATAGAGGCAGTCTTCGCTTAGGTTCATTCTGATGTGCAATATTTGCTGTAGCTCCGACGGAATATACTGTGGACAGTCTGGAGGGGTGGTGGTGGCATCTAAAGTTGTGTTCCATGCTTCAGGCGGCTGTGGGGGTTTGAAACGAAGCTCCCCTGCAAAAGACAGACACATTTATTTCGCCGACGATGATAAAGAAATGTTTACAGACGTGACTTAAATATGTTGAAGTTTCAAGAAAATCTAAGTATTTTTGCAAAGGTCTAAATTTGTTTGTGGGTTGTTTTGTTAGTTCCGTATAAGGTCCCCTATGGATTTTTTGGAATAACCATGTTTTTTCTTGTTTTTATTTTTTACACTTGTAGTTTCCCAAATAAGACAAATGCACCCGGACACAAGCCTTTATGAAAAAATTCAAACACGAGACTGGGTTGGGGAAAAAGGGGGGGGGGAGGGGGTGTGGCTGTGACAGATAATTATTTATTTATAAGTCAAATTTATGCTATTTGTTTCCTTCTATTTTCGCTTCTTTAAAAATATAACCAAGATTGAAATACCCCGCTAATATGAGCCCTACTATAAAGAGACGCGCTATAAAGAGCCTCACTTTAACGAAACCCGCTATAAAGAGCCCCGCTATAAAGAGACCCGCTATAAAGAGACCCGCTATAAAGAAACCCTCTATAAAGAAACCCGCTATAAAGAGACCAGCTATAAAGAGCCTCACTTTAATGAAACCCGCTATAAAGAGCCCCGCTATAAAGAGACCCGCTATAAAGAGACCCGCTATAAAGAGACCCGCTATAAAGAAACCCTCTATAAAGAAACCCGCTATAAAGATACCAGCTATAAAGAAACCTGCTATAAAGAGACCCCCCTGTGACACATTGTTGGATACATCGTGGCTCCCGTAAATTCATTGGCACTTTATTTTATTTTTTTCCGCGTGGAAAAAGGGAGAACACAAACATAGTTTCTTACAACACCGTCACACATTCGATTATGTGTCCAACACCAGCAACTCACAACTCACTAGAGATCTACACATTCATTACAAAAATATTGACAAAAAAAAATAACTAGTCTAATTTACAATGTTAATTACATCGCTATTCACATGGAATATTTTAAAACCTATTATTAACGTCATCATACGAGTACGCGATTCGTCTTTTTTTTTTTTTTTTTTTTTTTAAACTACAATAATCGCGGTGTGGCGGGGTCGTGTCCTACTTTGTGATTGGATGACCAGAGCACACATCCACTGTAAAAATCAACAAACACATCAAGTGCCTAATTGTTCACACTTGTGTCATCGAACTCTTGCGAAAACAGCGTGAGCCTCATACAACCGGTAGACGCGCGCGCAATATCTTGCACGGATATCGCTGTAAGCAGACGATTGCGACTGCATACCACTTCCGATCACTCAGAGACATACCGGTTTTATATGGCTCACCCTATGTATGAGAAGTAGAATTGTTCGACAGAAGGGAGAGTCGTCTTCCAGCGTTAATTATACACAAATGATTCATGCCACCTGCTTACCATAATATTTTTTTTTTAAATAAAGACATGGGGGGTGTTCGGCTAACCAAACGTTTTGGAAAATTGATGTTTGGAAAATCGACGCTCTACTGTATACGCTCTAGAATGTGTTACACCATTTGAATAGACTCAAACCCTTTTCTAATTCTTTTGTTTAGAAATAATGAACTATGTCGGCGAAATGTCATGGCGGTGAAACTGTGGTGGCGAAATGTCATGGCGGTGAAACTGTGGTGGCGAAATGTCATGGTGGTGAAACTGTGGCGGCGAAATGTCATGGCGGTGAAACTGTGGTGGCGAAATGTCATGGCTGTGAAACTGTGGTGGCGAAATGTCATGGCGGTGAAACTGTGGTGGCGAAATGTCATGGCTGTGAAACTGTGGTGGCGAAATGTCATGGCTGTGAAACTATGGTGGCGAAATGTCATGGCGGTGAGACTGTGGTGACGAAATGGCGGCGGCGAAGTAATGGTGGTGAAGTTGGGGCGGAAAAGTGGCGGCATTGGAGTGGTGGCGGCGAATGGTCCAATCCCCTACATGTCTTAGTAGTTCGATTTAAAATTTCCCAGAATATGCCTACATGTTCGGGAATCTGGGATCCGCCAAATTTAAATTCTAATATGAAGAGCTGATACCTACTTTCAGTTATCTATATAATCAGAACCTGTAGTAATGTTAGCTCAAAGTATTTAAAACTGCCGTAAGTATAATCCAGGCTTATTTCAAGGGTTCTACCCTTATAGCCTTAAAATTGTCTTTAAAATTGCCAAACATGAAAAGATTATAATAACTAAAGTCATGCATCAATATCCTATACTATGATGGAATAGGCTCACCTGTCGGTGGTTTTGCGAAGGGTATACCAGTATATTTATAGAGCCTTTCCGATCCATCGCCCACAACTACGCCCTTGACTCGACCGTAGCTTGTTGAGGTGACGGTGGTCCGATAATCCGCTGTGCTCTGACGCAAGTCGAATCCACTCCAAAGTAGCCCATAAAGTAAATATCTCAGTACTACTCTCATGGTTGTAGGTCACACAAAATGAACAATTCTATCATCCAGTACATTCTTTATTGTCAGTTGGTGGTTTTTTTTTTTGTTTTTTTTTAATACGACTAGAGACGGTTCCCAAACTAATTGCCATTGAAACGCTAAAAATTGAAAAGCGTCGTCCGGCTTAAACAAATATCAATTGGAGATCAATGATTGTGACTAATAAAGGTGCGACTCATAATTAATTTTTGAACAGCTTTGTAGGGTGACTGTGCAGCTTTGTACGGTGTCTCTGTAGCTTTATATGGTCTCTGCAGCTTCATTTGCCGTCTCTGCAGCTTTGTATGGTGTCTCTGCAGTTTTATAGGATGTATCTGCAGCTTTATACCATGGTGTCCACGTAGCTTTTTAGGATGCATCCTGCAGCTTTATTTGCCGTCTCTGCAGCTTTATATCATGTGTCACTGCAGCTTTATAGCATGGTGTCTCTGCAGCTTTTAAAGAATCCCATGACTGTTTAGGATATATGATTCTTATACCTCTTGTTTTCAAATGTTGGTTACCCCCTCCCCCTTCCTTTTTTTGCGACTGTGGTAGTTTCCCTTGATATCTAACTTCGTTTGTTTGACTACCAATCATTCGTTTATGTTTCACCGTGATGTTTGTACCTCCTGCTGTTGTAAATGCATTACTCTTGTTATGTAGTACACTTTTCCCCGTGCTTGAACTTTGTTTCACCCCACATTAGATCCCTAGCAGACGGTAGCGTTTGTTGTGAGCGGGGCTAGTTCTTTTGATCTGTCCTGTTTACCATTTAAACGTGAATAGCATGTCTCCTGGTATCTTGTCGAATCTTCTCGACAACCCGAGAAATGTAAACAACACGTCATAATTCTTTTCTGGATGCGTCTTACGCTAGATGTATATAAAGGAGTGACAGATACGGAGAGACGGAGATTGATAGATATTTAACCTTCACGAGACGTGTATTATTCTTTGTGTGCCTATATGTGTTTATTCGCATTGATCATTCATCGTTATTCATTGGCACATTGTACTAACTGTGTTAACTGTGTACCGGTACAAGATATACGATACTGTAAGTTGATGATTTGTAATTATATTTCTTTTATTTTATAATTGTATTATTACTAAATTAAATCTCATTAAAACTTCATTAGGTTAGCAAGAAAGCGAGTACATATTTTATTTTGAGGACCTCCTTATCATGTTAGCTGCCTACGGTTCTAGTAGCTTCCTTATCTGCCGTTCATTTGACTCATTTACAAATGCCTTACTCTCCACGAGGTTTGAACTTTATGATTGCCATGGATCCACTTTATGACTTCAGCAGTTTGAAATGTCACCGATAAGCAGGACTGTAAATACGTCAGGTGGTTCTAAATTCACTGTCTTTGGGTACCTAGGATAAGCATATGGACCGTGCCTTTAGAGGGTGTTAAAGTGTGTGTGTGTTTTTTTTTTTTTTTTTTTTTTTTTTTAGGGGGGGGGTGTGGGGGGTGGGGGCGTGGGGATTTGACAAATATTTGAGAGAGCATTTAAATTTAAAAAAAACAAAAAACATTCAATTAATTGTATTTAACAACGCCGCAATTTGAGGTTAATCGTTTAACCGGGGATCATTAACTAGCCCCTCATTCTCTAGTGGCCCAGGGACATGTTTGTAGTCCAAATACTTCTGTAAAAATACGTCCTCGCGTTAAGTAAGAGCAGTCCCGGGGAGACCTTAGGCACGGAGGCCGCCTTTCTGCCCGTCTTCGATCTCACCGATCGATTCCCACTTACGTCATGGTACTCTGTTGCGTCGTCAAGCGGCCAATCATCAAATTCAGTTAGATCGTCGACGTGAAGAAAACTCATCGAGGACAATGCACAGCTTTCTGTGGGGATACGTTTGAGCGGTACAAATTGTGGCACTACGGTACAAATTGTGGTACTTCTACAATTCACTGCTTCAATATATATAAATATATATAAAGTATCACCTTTTTAAAAAAAATAATTCTAGATTCAATTTTAAATAATTTATGCCAAAGTAGCACTTTTATCACATTATATTTTCAATTACTATTCCAGTTGCATACCTTGACATCGTGCAACGTTATTAAAGAAGGTTAAAACGACAAAATAATCTCCCAACCAAAAGAACACTTTTTTTTTTTTTTTTTTTTTT